AAGCCCTGTTGGCAAGCTCCTTAATGGCTCTCGCAGTGACTTCCGTATCAGTTGGATTACCTGTCAACTGATTGGGATCAGCGTTCTCTGGTGTTATAACATCTCGAGGACGCCTTCCAAAGGCCATTTCTAAAGGAGTAACTCCTCCGTAGGTAATCGAAGAGTTTCTTGCCAAACATGCTTGGCGAACGAGGTTGCCATACTTCATGGTGATTCCGTTATACTGCGGGTCACCATCCTTCAGGATCTGAAGTATGAGCTTAATCTGATGCTTCAGCAATCTTACAGCAGCTTCGGCCCTGTTGGGCCATGGTGTTCCAGGTCCTGTTGCTACAGGCTTGATATTCTGCCGATTGTAATAAGCCTCCATTTTTGGAGTCATGAATGCTTGATCTCCAACTACAACCTTTGGGTTGATCTGAAATTTTTCAAAGTAGTCATTCATAATCGACATTGTAGTATGTTCTTCTTTATCCTGGACTACTTCGGCAGTCAACAAGTTTGTTGCTCCATCATAGAGAATAAGAAATACTAAGCGACTATCCTTGCCGGGAATTGGAAGCTCACCGTGATCTACGAAGGTGAGATCACCGAAAGTCTCTGATCTTAGACCAGAAATCTTCGCTCTCGAAGGAGCTCTCACATGTTCCTGGCAGGCTGAACACTTTTTGACCAGTTGGTCATATAGCTCGTAGATCTCCTTTGGGATCTGTAAGGCTTTTGTGCGTCGCTTGAACTGATCCGTACTCATATGACGGTGCTTAAGGTGAAGCTTATAGAGTTCTACAGGGTCCTTAAGCTTCTCATGAATCCTGCGAAGAGCAATGGGAAGAGATGGCGATGGTTCTGCGACAATCTCTTCACCTGTAGGTGAGTCTGTACCAGGAGCCGGGTATTCTCTTGACTCAAGTGGTCTTACCTCCGTCCCGTCATCAGCTCCTGGGACCTTAGACTTCTCTTCAACAGGAGATTTAACCGCATATTTGCGGGATTTCTTCAGAAGGTTTTTAAGACCCTTTGGAGTCTTTATCTTCGCAGGTGGAACCTCAAGTCTTTCTTCTTCTGGAGGTTCATGTGGTGCAGAGGATTCTGCAGGTTTGTCCCTAGAACCTGATGATGGTTCCGATGGTCCGGAAGGCTCAGGAACATCTCCAGATGATTCTGGTGGATCAGGTTTCTTGGCAGATGATTCTGCCGGATCAGATGGAATAGGCTTCTTTTTGCCTGAAATCCTCTTCGGTGGTGGATCAGCTGCTCCCTCAGGTGCCTTGTCGCAGCCCTTGAGGTACGTGTGAGCCTTTTTCTGTCCGGCACAGGCTGGACAGCGACCTTCCGGTATCCTAACATAGGGCTTCTTGGCTCCTAGAGCAGTCTCCGTCGCACTGAACGACGTACCTGACTTAGGAAGATACTTCCTGGTGGAAGTAAAGCCTAGAAGGTCCAATACCAAATGGTTATTGGTACTAATCGGAAGAGGGGTTTTATACAAACCGAAAGCTTCACACGTTGCTAGGTCAGCTGTTGGACTACACTCGAGGGTCATTCTTAAATTCCTCATCTGTTCGATGGAAAACAAAATGGGGACTCTTCCCTGATCCAAAACTTCTATGGTTGTATCTCTTCTTGGAGTTGTGTTAAACCATAGAGTTACACGCTCCTTGATAAGAGCTGTTTCACTATCTGCGAAAGAGAACTTCGTGTTCGAAGGTGAAAAAGTGAAATCAATCATGCCTGGGGCATGTTGCTTCACGGCCTTGATAAGCCTGTTCACCGCATAGCGGGAACCCATAGCCCTAGTACAACCAGAGTCAAGAATGACAAAGGTAGGGCTCTTATCAAGATTGATCCGCTCTGTGAGAGCAGATAGGACGGTGTGCTGCAACGGAAACACTGCTGTTGCAGTCTCCACACCTTGCCCCTCGGATGGTTCAAAGACCTGGGGCACGTAACTCACTGATGAGTTGTACACGGGTTCTTGGTGCGCGCTCGGATCTGTGCCTCTACCTGATGATCCTGCTTGATTTCTTCTCTTCTTTCTCCGTGTCTTTCTTCGTGAGGCTTGTGATGCATAGTATGTATAAGACGTTTGATCGTCATAAGCGGCATAATTCCAACTGGAGTCAGTATAATAACTGTCCTCATACCATGAATCCCAGCTCGGTGCGGTGGAACTTTCATAGGCCTGTGGAGATCCAGTTTGGTCTCCTTGTAAGGAGGCAGACTTAGCTGTATCCTTACCTTTGCCTTTTGATTTTGTACCCTTGAAGGAGCTTCCTTTATCTCCTTTGTCCTTTCCTTTTCCTTTGCCTTTTCCACCTTTTCCTTTTTCCTTTCCTTTACCTTTACCGAAATAGCTGGAATCAGTTGGATCATGTTCTGCCTGGTTGGCTCTCCCTTTTCCGCGGTATGACCTAAAACGGCCACGTCCTTTTCGCTTGCCACCCTTTGCTCTTCCCGGTGATCCGGGACGCATTCTTGGTCTTCTTCCCTTTTTGAATCTCCTTGCAACGAAGGCCTCATGGTCGTCAACTGTCCAGAAGACAGCTTCTTCATCCTCGGCGGCAAGAAAGCCTTCCTCAAGGGTGTCTTCGTCTTGAAGCCAGAATCCATCGACTCCGTCGTATTCACCCTGATCGAGGATGAGGAAGTTTCGACCTCCGCGTTTGCGGCGTTGATCTCTCCTTCCATGGCGGTCCTTCTTGTGAGAAGTGTGCCGAATATTGGGATCCTGCAGACCAGTTCTGGTCGTTGAGAACTGATCGAACATGGTCTGCCGTACTATAGGGTACGTGTAGGTCTCAATTCGGTAACCTTGGTTGGTCAATGCTGTTACCAACCTCTCACGTTGCATCTCATTTAGGTCGGACTGCACTAGGAAGAGGAGAGCTAGGAGATTATCATTTAGAGGAAACGCTCTTCGATGATTATCAAGGCGTTCCTTGTTCCATGTTTCGAAGAAACGTGCGGCGTATGTGTCTCTCTCGGTTGCATCCTGTAGGCGCATGAAGGTTTGATCTGCCTGCACAGCCTGCATGAAATCCGGATGGGCATCTTCCAGAACTATCTCTGGTAAGAGATCCATCCATGAGTTTCTCACGCGCTGTAGCACGATCTCAAACTTAGCAATCCAAGTCACAAAGTCTTGGTTGCCCTTCCATGCCTTGAATAGGCCGAGGAAACGCCACAGGAAAACGTACTGTTCTCCTTTCACGAAAAATGGACGCATCTTCTTCTTGAAGTAATCTACTCCATCTGGGGCTGCAAGCCTTTCTCGGTTGAGTGATTCTTTTTGTACTGCGGCCAATCCGGAGAGCCTCGTCTTGAGAGACGGACCTCTTTTGGTGTCATCCAGCGTTGTTATGTCGCACCAGTCGTCAATCAACTGTTCATACTCAAACCACGAGGTGGTGCCATCATAGGCAGGCGCGATCTTGGGCGTTATGCCTAATGATGCAAGCATGCGGTCAGATGTTGCATATGACTGTGCGACATAAGTAGCTGGACCTTGGGAGGTCTCTTCGTTCTCATATCCCCCGGAGGATTGGGAACTGCCGTCGGCTTCGCTATGCGAGCTCGACATTGTGCTGCCTCTTATCCGCTTGGTTAAGCGTTCGGCGAGGCCGACCGCTGTAGCGGACTTTGTGAGGCGGGCGGCCCTTTCCGGGCTCCGCTACCAGAAAACTGTGCCGATACACCCCCAAGGGATACTCCTTGTGAGGAGGTGTATGACCAGTTATTCCCTAAGGATCAAAGGGCAGCGCCCTGCACACGGACAGTAGTTGTTTTGTCTTGCTACGCAAGGAGAGCTTGTCTTGTCTGAATATGGTAAAACCACTGTGAGCCAATGGGCAGCGGAATGTATATGTATGAGCATGCAGCCATTGCTGTAGGTACCTGTTAGAGCTACCCCTTTAGAGGTTTATGGTTTCACCACCCCCCCCCTCCCCCCCCCCCCCCCCCCCGCCCCCCCCCAATGGTATCCCCCCCCAAATACAGGAGCCTGAACCCTGGAGGCTTGGAGGACTCCCGCTACAGGCGCGCCGTACAGCGTATTGTACCCCGCTTGGCCCGCCCGCGACGCACCCGCGTAATTTCCACAGTAAGGACAGGGTTTCGAGGCAAAACAGAGAAACAGAGTAACATTATTCCTACTCCGAAGGCCAGGGCTTCCTGCGAGCAGTAAGCAACATGTTCTAGGCAGCACTCAGCAAGATTACTCGTGTGCCAAAATTTCCAAGCAAGGCTATGTAAAATTCCTTAGAAAAGGGTTCACATGACAGGAGAGCATGTGCGGAGAATGCCATACATACACAGACACGCGGTGTGTGTGTGTGTGTGTGTGTCTCAGAGCAAAAGGGAAAACCATACTGTTCCACAGGAGGGGGTTGGGGAGATAGAATGGCCATACATTCAAAAAGACATAGCAACCGGAGACGAAGTTCGCAGCAGCAGAATACCGCACACCAAAGAATAGACGGGAGGCTTGCAGGAGAGCATGTGCGGAGAATGCCATACGTACACAGACACGTGCGGTTGTGTGTGTGTGTGTGTATGTGTCTCAGAGCAAAAAGGGAAAACCATCCTGTTCCACAGGAGGGGGGAGGGAGATAGAATGGCCATACATTCAGAAAGACATGGTGCGTGTGTGTGTGTGTGTGTGTGTGTGTCTCAGAGCGAAAGGGAAAACTATACTGTTCCACAGGGGGGGGTTTGAAAATAGGGCAAACCATCCTGTTCCACAGGGGGGGGGAATAGACAAGGCAAACCTTGCCGTTCCACAGGCGGGGGGCGGGGAGAATACACGTCGATTACTTATGAAAATAGAGCAGAGTACCTAACAGGATACCAACGCGGGTGGGGAGGGGAGGGGGGGGGGAGGGGGGGGAGGGGGGGGGGGCCCGCCGGGGCGCAACCATATATGCCTTGATTGCTGGTCGGCACTGCGCATTGCCTGACGTGGGTGTTTCTCAAAGGCAGGAGGCGCTCATAGTTTCGCAAGCATGGCGCGCCTGGGCAACGCTTTGGTTTGCGTCGCGGCTGCCACCGTACTGGCGGCCGCTGTTGCATTCGTTGCGCCAGTGGGCCCCCGCGGTGGATCTGCTCAGACGCGTGGGGTGGAGGTGAGCAGCAAGGCACTGCCCAATGGGCTCAGCGAGTCTCCAGTGACAGGCACCGAGGCAGCTGCGGAGCCATCTCCTGTGGCATCGTTCCTGAAGTGGACAGCCGCCGGCCTTCTGGCCGGTCTGGTGATGGCAGTGTCTTCCAGCGCTCCTGCGAGTGCCAAGCCTCTGGAGATGTTCGGCGGCGTGGACATCGATCTGGAGGACACACCAGCCCATTGGACCATCAAGGCCTCCCCGGTGCTGGAGCCCTGCAAGGACAACAAGAAGTTCCACAAGAAGCTCAAGGATGAGCTGTACAAGGTGAAGAAGAATCAGCAGAAGTTTGCCGAGGGCTCCGCGGCGTATGCTCGCTTCAACAAGAAGATCAAGATGATCGAGCTGCGTGAGACCGCCTACGGCGACAGGCTTTGTGGCAAGAAGGACGGGCTGCCCCGCACCATCGCCACTGGCGAGTGGAACGTGAGGGGCAGTGCCATGTGGCCTGCGGCCATTTTCCTCTACATCGCTGGCTGGATCGGCTGGGCTGGCCGCTCCTACCTGATCCGCACCAACGACGCAGCCAAGGAGATCAACATTGACGTGCCTTTGGCCGTGACGTGCATGGCGAGTGGCTTCTCGTGGCCAGTGGCAGCGTGGCAGGAGATCGTCAACGGCGAGATGGCGGTGCCCAGCGACCAGATCCACAACGGCGGCCCGTGGAACCAGTCCTGAGCTGACCTTTGCACGGGAACTTTTTGAGTCTGTCAGCATGGCTGTGCAGAAAGCAGTTGCGCATCCGGCATCCAGCACAGCCTCATGTTTCTCGACTCTAGATGCCATTGCGCATGTTGTTGCATGTTCACAACTTATGCCTATATGCGCTGTGCACATGCATGTGCTCGACGCCGCTGCGTTTCCACAACAGGGCAGGGCCTGGTGACAGCTTCGCAAGCATGGCGCGCCTGGGCAACGCTTTGGTTTGCGTCGCGGCTGCCACCGTACTGGCGGCCGCTGTTGCGTTCGTTGCGCCAGTGGGCCCCCGCGGTGGATCTGCTCAGACGCGTGGGGTGGAGGTGAGCAGCAAGGCACTGCCCAATGGGCTCAGCGAGTCTCCAGTGACAGGCACCGAGGCAGCTGCGGAGCCATCTCCTGTGGCATCGTTCCTGAAGTGGACAGCCGCCGGCCTTCTGGCCGGTCTGGTGATGGCAGTGTCTTCCAGCGCTCCTGCGAGTGCCAAGCCTCTGGAGATGTTCGGCGGCGTGGACATCGATCTGGAGGACACACCAGCCCATTGGACCATCAAGGCCTCCCCGGTGCTGGAGCCCTGCAAGGACAACAAGAAGTTCCACAAGAAGCTCAAGGATGAGCTGTACAAGGTGAAGAAGAATCAGCAGAAGTTTGCCGAGGGCTCCGCGGCGTATGCTCGCTTCAACAAGAAGATCAAGATGATCGAGCTGCGTGAGACCGCCTACGGCGACAGGCTTTGTGGCAAGAAGGATGGGCTGCCCCGCACCATCGCCACTGGCGAGTGGAACGTGAGGGGCAGTGCCATGTGGCCTGCGGCCATTTTCCTCTACATCGCTGGCTGGATCGGCTGGGCTGGCCGCTCCTACCTGATCCGCACCAACGACGCAGCCAAGGAGATCAACATTGACGTGCCTTTGGCCGTGACGTGCATGGCGAGTGGCTTCTCGTGGCCAGTGGCAGCGTGGCAGGAGATCGTCAACGGCGAGATGGCGGTGCCCAGCGACCAGATCCACAACGGCGGCCCGTGGAACCAGTCCTGAGCTGACCTTTGCACGGGAACTTTTTGAGTCTGTCAGCATGGCTGTGCAGAAAGCAGTTGCGCATCCGGCATCCAGCACAGCCTCATGTTTCTCGACTCTAGATGCCATTGCGCATGTTGTTGCATGTTCACAACTTATGCCTATATGCGCTGTGCACATGCATGTGCTCGACGCCGCTGCGTTTCCACAACAGGGCAGGGCCTGGTGACAGCTTCGCAAGCATGGCGCGCCTGGGCAACGCTTTGGTTTGCGTCGCGGCTGCCACCGTACTGGCGGCCGCTGTTGCGTTCGTTGCGCCAGTAGGCCCCCGCGGTGGATCTGCTCAGACGCGTGGGGTGGAGGTGAGCAGCAAGGCACTGCCCAATGGGCTCAGCGAGTCTCCAGTGACAGGCACCGAGGCAGCTGCGGAGCCATCTCCTGTGGCATCGTTCCTGAAGTGGACAGTCGCCGGCCTTCTGGCCGGTCTGGTGATGGCAGTGTCTTCCAGCGCTCCTGCGAGTGCCAAGCCTCTGGAGATGTTCGGCGGCGTGGACATCGATCTGGAGGACACACCAGCCCATTGGACCATCAAGGCGTCCCCGGTGCTGGAGCCCTGCAAGGACAACAAGAAGTTCCACAAGAAGCTCAAGGATGAGCTGTACAAGGTGAAGAAGAATCAGCAGAAGTTTGCCGAGGGCTCCGCGGCGTATGCTCGCTTCAACAAGAAGATCAAGATGATCGAGCTGCGTGAGACCGCCTACGGCGACAGGCTTTGTGGCAAGAAGGACGGGCTGCCCCGCACCATCGCCACTGGCGAGTGGAACGTGAGGGGCAGTGCCATGTGGCCTGCGGCCATTTTCCTCTACATCGCTGGCTGGATCGGCTGGGCTGGCCGCTCCTACCTGATCCGCACCAACGACGCAGCCAAGGAGATCAACATTGACGTGCCTTTGGCCGTGACGTGCATGGCGAGTGGCTTCTCGTGGCCAGTGGCAGCGTGGCAGGAGATCGTCAACGGCGAGATGGCGGTGCCCAGCGACCAGATCCACAACGGCGGCCCGTGGAACCAGTCCTGAGCTGACCTTTGCGACTTTCCACAGCCCTCCTTTTTGAAGGCCCTGAAAATCCGAGCTTTTCAGCAACTTGTTACCGCCGCCTGTGCAGGGCGTGTGAGTGTCGAGGGGACTTCCTTCAGGCTCGAGGCAGAACATCGACCCGCTAGGCTTGAGGGATGCATTTTGCCTATGATCCTCGTACTCTTAGGACTTTTCATCTACGGTAGAGGCTGTATTAGTGGTAGAGGTACTAGCATAAACGTCCTTTGGAAAGCGAGCAGACTTGAGCATTGAGAGCTTGTGCAATGGTAGCGAGGGAACCATTGCCGGGGCCAAAGCGACAAGTGGCGTTGTCTGCTGCTTGGGTCTTCTAGGCTGCCCTTGCGATCTATGCCTGCAGTCTTTCGGCCGGCTGCCGACAGCACCCGTGCCTTGACGTTCATTGATTTGATAAGGCGCCAACACTCCAAGACGCGGCAAGCGCGACGAGGCACGGAGATGCGAAGTCAACTTTGATTCGTTTCGTGAGCCTTTCTGGGCCAAGACTGGCAGCCCAAGGTGCACGCAGCGGCAAAGCAGCCTGAAAGCATCGAGATTGCTTGACAGAGGGACTTTTGCCGAATTTTTTTGCTGCGTCTCCGGTCTGCGCAGTCCTCTGGTCCTCCACGCCTGTTCCGTCTGTTTTTGTCATGTTGATTGCTTCATACAAGTTCACTCGCGAGGCACCGGATCTGTGTGCCGCTTTGGTGGCCGAGCTGCTCATAGCGCAGGGCCTAGCATCAGGGATGGCCTTATTCTCTTCCATGTGTGCTAAGGCTTCAGGGGGGCATTGGGCATGAGCAGAGGCATAGGGTATCACAGAGTGTGACATGCATGTAGGTAATGTAGGTGCGACCAGTCCAGTGACTCTGCACATCACCGCGCCATCTAACGCCGTGACGCTGCAACTTCGGCTTCCACTGTGGACCGCGCAACTGTTTCGGCGGCTTCAGCTTCTTCACCCTTGGGGTCGCTTGGGCTGCAGATACGCTTGTTTCATGTGTTTTTGCACCGTTTGTCCTCTTCGGTGCTGTTCCGGTCCTTGTCCCTTCTCATGAGCCGGTTCTTGTACGAAAACACTCAAAGACACGAGTGTCATGACTGCATGCCTCAGCCGGGACATGCCGGGACCGAGGCAGGATGGCAGGCATAGGACTTGTGCGCCGGGCGCTTTCTACGTTTTTGCTGGCTGCTTGGCTGTGTCACAGAATCTGACATGTGCAGCTTTAGCAGCTGGGTCCTACTTCAACCCGATGGCCACAGTAGAGTGAACTCGCCAGCGACAGCAATTTAACCACAGTCGCACTGTCTCGCAGATCGCATGACTTTTTGCTCGAAGGATATGGCTAGAGATAGCTTTTGCTTCTGCCACGGCCTTCGAGATTCCTACGAAACCTGGATGTAGTCGGGGATGGCTGATACGAGTGGAAGAAGCCCCTAAGCCTATGCATTGTTTGCAGTTGGACACTCGCAATGACAGATGAGCTCAGGTTGCAGGTGCCACTTGCGTGGCATCGCTGGAAAGGCCGCGCACCCCCCCTATTCATAGGGGATGCATGGAGATGGGCACGACGTACTTTCAGGGGCACCGAAAATCACCGTAAGAAATTGCAACTGTGGGCGTCGCTATGTCCAAGCCTTTCCCTGGAAGGAGCGAGGAGGGCGGCGGGCCGGGCGGCGACTGTCTCTGCCTTTTCGACGTAGACCGCACGCTCACCGGCCAACAAGACCTCACCAGCCCGAACTGCGAGAAGCTCGGGAAGACTTGCGGCTCTTGGACGTTTTTCTCAGCTCCGAGGTTCTCAGAATCAGGTGCTCCCTGGCATCAAGGACGTTGTCAGCGGAAAGGCGCCTTTTAAGCTGCGCTTTTCTTCTGCTTGGCAGGACACCGCGTATGGTGGGGGAGATCTTACCCTGTCGCAGGCAGCTGCAGCTCTGTGCTGCACTGTAGGCCTGGTAGGCTGAAGGAGGCTGCACATCTTGGCGGCACGCCTGTTACATGCTGTGGATGTTGGTACTTCTGGCAACATCGTGTCGACTTAGCACCTGCTACGCGGCCGGGTGCGGATCATGGCTGCAGGTTGGCCAGTCCTTCAAGGGGACCTTCTGCGCTAGCTGTTACATTGGCATCGTCACTGCCGGTGATGTGAGCGGGGCTGGCAGCCAGGACAGTTGCGTGAGGTTTCCTGCAGTTTGCAAGATCGTAGCTGAAAGCCGTCCAAAAAATCCTACTGTCTCCGATGCTGCTATTGTCTTCGCGCGACGAACAGGCTGTGGCTATGCACAGACATGGACCAGTAGTCGAAGCTATGTTTGAAGGAGCGCACGACTCTTGTGCAACATCTGCAGGGATCAGGTGGCAACGTGGCTGCATGCCTGCCTCCATGGCTGGTGCCAGCAATTGTGCATTGCTTGTCTCAAAGTTGTCTCAAGGCAAGCTGCCAGTGACTAATTGGTGCGGCGCCTATGCAGTCAAGCTGCCTTGTCCTGGTGAAACCTTTACAACTGTATTCAAGGTCTGGCCCATCCAGCAGAGGCGAGGCACGCCGAGCCTGCACTGCACAGGCTGGGACCGAGAAGAACGAGCACGTGAACTGAACGTCACTGGATGCTCACCAGGATGCGCAGTCTACACTGGTGACAGGCCCTGCCCTTGCTCCAAGCGTGGTGTGACATTGAGGGCCGTTGAGTCCCGCTTTGAGCACCTGGGTGTTTGCAGGATGCTTGGACGGCACAAAGCAGGAGGCCGCCAAAGGCATCGTCATTTGGTCTTGCGCTCGAGCACTTGAGGTACTCTGATTTTCAGATCGATAAGCAGCCTGAGGCTTGCACGCCGTGGTGTGGGAATTCTTCCTTCGAACGTATGGCTATTTGATGATCGCTCCATAAACATTGTGCCTTTTCGCGGGACGGGCATGAACGCCAAGATGATCTCCTGCGCGACAAGGCAGGCCTCCGGCACGGAAGCTGCTGGCAAAACTGTTCAATGCTTGAGTGTCCATGGGTGTTTGTTACTGCAGAACTGTTTCTGCCAGGGATCCAAAAATGCAGACCGGTGTGTGTGGAGCGACCACGCAGGCGGCAGCGAGCCATTGATTCCAATGAAGTGATCGTTTGTCACGTCCAGTTACGTGTTCGGCATAGTTCAACAGAGATTCGGAAAGTAGCCTGTTCAGTACTTTGCGATTGCAGGAGGTCTGCATGCACGTAGCGAGCTGCATCAATAGCGGACATCAGAACGCTGAGTTCTGCTCACTGGAGGAGATTCTGCAGGAACCCGGGGTGATTGTTTGTGATGACCAGTCCGACGTGCTCGTGTGACGTGATCGTAGAGACGAGATCTTACTGCTCAGAACATGGTGCCGCGAAGCGTTGCCATGATTCCTTTTGTAGATTATTGCTCTGGCGTCTCCTCACCTGGCACGTCCCATTGAAGTTGACACGTGCCAGCGGACTGCACGTGACAGACTGAAAGCTGAAGATTTTCTTTCAATCTGTCCGTATGCCAACTGGTCATCGTCGGATACGTGAAGAGGGATGAGCTGCAGGGGCAATGTCGATTGTAGCCACGGCGGGATGCTTGAGCCGCCTGTGGTCACAGATCCATTGATACCCGATATCAATCGGCAAAGGATGGATTTCAGAGTGTGTGTGCGCACAGCAGATAAGATGCCGTGGATCTGCAAGCAGCCAGACTGCCAGCAACTTGTTGGTGGCGAGAAGCAGCTTCAAAAGAATGATTCTGCTTGCTGAGGCCTCCCCGAAGAACCGGACGCGACGCCTGTGGCGCGCTTGGAGAAGTGGATGCCCGAGTCGCGCTAGATCCTGTTGCTGACAGGGAAGGCTCTATGCTTCCGAGCGTGTGTGAGCACCGAGCCGAGGCTCTGTGCAAGGGCTGCGTAAGGGGAACTCAATCTGTATGGCCGTTCTGGAAGTTTCGGAGCCGCTAGTGCTCAAGAGTGGGGCGATTCGGGCTCTCTGTTTATCGCAGGCGGGGCCTCTTTGTTAGCAGACTCGTGACATGTCGTCAGGCCGTAAGTGGTAAAGATGCTTGAAGAAATCCTGTTCTTGGCCAGGAAAAGAGTCTGAAGCCCCTGTCATGGCAGCTTGCTTTCGCAAACTGTTTTTCTGTGCTTAGCCGTGCTACATGCGTGGAGAGCGGCGCACCCCAAGAAACGCGGAGTACTTGCGAGTGCCGCCACCAAATTAAGGAGCCTTCAAAGGTGGGCTGTGCTGTTCCTCCAACTGCGCCAACATCGCGACGCCTTTCAGTCAGCCAAAGCCTGAGACGTCTTCAGTCCCTCCAATCGTTCAAGTGTCGCTGCTGCTCTAGCCGAAGACTGCAAAGGCATAAGCTGCGATGCCAGTGAGCTCGAGCTCGATATGAACCGCAAGGCAGGTAATGCTTTGGGAAGATCAACCGAGTATAACCGAGTGTTCTGTACATGGTGAGCGGCAGCATCAGCAGCAGCAGCACCACCACCACCACCACCACCACCACCACCACCACCACCACCACCACCACCACCACCACCACCACCACCACCACCACGACCACCACGACCACCACGACCACCACCACCACCACCACCACCACCCAACCAGCTGGTCAGTTTTTCTCTGTGCCTCTGAGATAACGCACCCTGTGCTCCACTACTGATTGACTCAATTAGCTCACCATCAGAAAGAGAAAGGGATGTGCAGTGTAGTTCAGGATACCACGGCCCAGGAAACGGAGATGCCATTGCAAGAGATACAGAGCGTGAGAGCAAGCGAAATCCCTGTTGCAGGCCTCCCACTCGCAGCGGGTAGACGTCCTGACACCGAAGCGGGGCCCGAAAGAAAAGCCGTGGTCAGTGCCTCGCTTCGTGTTTTCGTGTCGTGGCTCGGTGAAGGTCCTTCGGAGCTGCCCTTGATCGTGCTAAGCCGTTCTTCGACGAGACCTCCGAGGATGAGGCAGAAGGCCGTGGGGCCGTGGGGCCTGGGATGGCCTGGGGCCTTAGCTGAGCCTTGGCAGTTTCAGCCATTCCTCGCACTTTGGAGGAGGCAAGGGCAAATGATGGCCACGCGAACTTCCACATCTCCCCACCTTCTTTGGCAGAACTGCCTTCAGGAGAAAGGCAGTGCGAGTTGACCACAGCGAAGACCACGCGAAGAAGCTGTTTTGGTCTTGGGATTTTTGCTTTGGCGAGTGTGTAAAGGTCTTCCTTGGAACTTGGAATGTCGGGAACTGTCTGGCAGCTTTGTCCAGGAGCTAACCACTAGAGTCCTAGAACCCGAGACTCCCTCCACAACTATCATCCCAGGGGGACTCCTTGATGCCTTGTCTACAGTCCCCATTCGCTTGTGTCCAGGAAGGGAAGTCACAGGGATCTTTCAAGTTCAAGTCTTGATGGAACATTCAGCGTTTGTAGCATTCATACTTGGGATGCCTTCACCTGTGGTTCTTCGCAGTGTTTCATCCGCATTCCTTGCATGCGTGAAGCATGCAGCAGTTCGCGGATGGTCAAAGCTTTAGTTGGGCCAAGTATACATCTTGACCCCGTGTTTTGACTCCCTATGGAGTTGACCTGCAACGCGCACCGAATTTTGTCTCTTTTCTCACCCGTCTGCAAATGCGGTTACGGGCCTTACTAGATTTCTCTCGCCAGCATCGCCCTCGAGGTTTTATCCTTCCAGTCGCTGGCGGTGTCTAGCCGAAACCCACTGGCAACAGGTCAGTGGTTGCTTGTATTGGCATGGAGGTGAGAAAGGCTGCAAGTGGGCAGGTGGTGCAAGTGACCGTGACCGAGATCTGCCCACGCATGCTAGCAGCTAGCTTGGCGAATTTGACCATCCGGGGATTCTGCAGGGACATCGAAGCAGAGCTGATTCTTGGAGCTTGGCGCCCACACGAGATGTTGTCGCACGCTGAAGCCTTCATGAAGCTTGGTCAGTTGCTCAGGCGGGACGCAATCCTCTGCATGGGCCTTGACTTTCCGCATGATCTCTGTACTTGGACCCAGTGCCTTGTGTTTGATTGACAAGTGTTGTTGGATGCAGATGAAAGTCACTTTAGCAACGGCTCGCCAGAGGATTCACTGAGCTTTCACAGGAAAATCGCACGTTCGCGAATTTGTCTGGATTCGGGGTCGGTTACTTAAAGATGAAACGGAAGTTCCCGAGGAGCCAGGATGGCGGGGCTGCTCAAACGATACCGAAGAGCTGTAGCACATCGACAGTTGGTTCGGTGGATTGAACTGCAGGTTCAGGTTGTCGGGAAGGGGAAGCCGGATGTGGGAAAAGCAGAAGTGCTTGCAACTTATCGGAAGCTGGAGTGTTGAGAAGTGCTCAGAAGCCATGAGCTCGACATCACCAGGACACGAGGGCATAGGGCGATTCTGCCTGGTTGCGGGTTTGCGACAACCAGGTCGTGATGTGGCGACCGAGCATCCAATGTCTAAGGCAGATGGAACAAACTGACGAAGAGACAGACACAGCGACTGAAGAAAGCATGTGGCATAAACTTGGATTGCGGTTCTCCGAAAGCCCAAGAGTGCCAAGGACGTGGCTCTGGAGATGGAGCTGGAGGACATCGCTCGGCTTCGCGAGCGTTTAGGCGGCTGCTACCGATGCGTAGTTCTTGGAGGGGCCATGCGGAAAGCTTGCAGGTGACGCCCTCTCCACTCAGGAGGTGTTGGCTCAGCAGGCCCTCCGTTGTACCATGGCTACCCTGGCTCTGCTCATCTCGCCTTGCTTTGCGGGATTTTGCGGCGGTTGCAGGTTCGACCTCTGCGAAAGGATTCTGGTGCCAAGGTCTCGGGGTTGCCGCCCTGGTCCAGGGGTCCCTGTCTGCTGTGCAGGAGCAAAGACGGCCGGCAGGGAGCTGAAGAGTTCTGACGGTAGGCACTTGGGCATCCTAGTTCAGAAACCGCTGGCCGACATGAGGAAGGGCCAAAGCCGACGACAAATCCAGAATCCATGCGGGTCGAACCGGGCAAAGTTGTCAGGATGCCTACTGTAAAACCTGGAGGCTGCAAGGGTCTGAGCTCCTGTGCCAGGCCGGGAGAGATGGCAAGTCGCCTGGCGGCCAATTGGAGCACACGGATTTTCACTTTCGACGAAACGCTGCTGTCCTTGACTTTATCATGAGGCTACCTCCCCTGCCGCCAAGGGCATTCGGCCTCCAGGCAGGATGCTGGTCAGAACAGCATGCCTCTGTTGGGTCGACAAAGCCTTGCAATTGTCTCAATGCCAACACTCTTGTAAACGGAGAGCGAGGCACCTTGCGAGGTTCATGTACGCACGAAGTGCACTCACAACGACATGCCATTGCAAAAAAAGCAGGCCAGAAAGGCCATTGACCGTGTCGGATGAGGAGCGTGGTTCTGCCGGAAGAAGTTGATGTTTATGGCCAGTGGCTCTGCCATGATCTCGCGGGAAGGAGGGACCCCTGCGGCGCGTAGCCACGCAGCACTGTGAGCCCAGGAGTATGAGAATGTCCGATGCAACTGCAACAATTCATTCAGCTGCACTGAGCCAGCAGGTGCCAAGCATCGCTTCGCACTGTTGGTGCATTTTGCATTTTTGTTACTGGCTGCTGCGAGAACTCGAGAGATTGACGAACGGCCTTGGTCGAAGTTGCAGCCTGGCAGCCAGTGGCGGCCTGACAAACTGGCCGCGAATATCCGCAAAAGGAGCTGGGTGCGCTTCCGCTCAGCTCCTTTCGGGCGTTGCGCCAGCTTCCTGTGCAGTCGCAACGTGTCCATTTGCCAAGGCATGCTTTGGTCTTCGGTGCAAATATGCAGATTTGACCAAAGGAGCCCACGCGTCACAAGCACGCCGGAAACGATTTAGTAGCTTAGTACGGAAATGCAGCCGATGGCTGATGTCGAAGGGCCGGCCTCTGTGCTGGGTTCGATCTGGGGAACGAACCAAAGTGCAAGAATGGCAGCCTGTCACTGGTCTCTGCTAGTGACTTTGAACAGGAAGGCTTGCGGCGAGGCTTCGAATTGGCGAGACTATGCACTTCGGACTTCGCGTATCGATGCGCGATCAAAGTCAGAGCAGAGTGGCAAACGTCAGTGTAGGGAGCGGGATGAAGGTGACACGAAGGGGACGGTGTTAATCGCTGATTTTCTCTGCAATGTGTCGGCCCCAGACATCGCATCGCTACTGTCGGCACGAACACGCGGTCAACAACAAACAGCTATATTTGGACACCTCGTCCCGACATGCGGGCATGATCCAGTGAGGGTGCTATGGCGGCATGCTGATGCTGTCAGTATCCAGCCAAGCACGGCCTGGCATCTTGCAGGCGTGTGACCAGACAATTCATCCGA